CTTTGTTGTTAGCAAACACGCGATTCGTTTGGATTTCCTAACGCATCGTTATACGAACGTTTCGACGGGAAGCGGGCGAAACGGAAGGCCACGATTTTATTTACAGAGACGTTTAAATTGAATTTTCAATTTCGCAAAATCGCCACGGCGAAACCGACGCTCAAAATGCTCGACGCTTTGCGGTTAATACATCCACGCCGGATTCGAAAATCGTTATTCCGTTCGCCAAAGCAATCTTTACATTGCCGGCGTGAGATTGACTTTTTTTTCATGTGGAGCAGCTTGTTCGTTCCCAAACAGTTTTAAGTCGAAAACATCGTTTCGCGTTTTTGCTTTTTTTCCCCGGTTTTTTTCGTTCGAAACAATTTTCATGGGAAATTCGATTTAAACGCTCCGGTTTTCTGAAATTCGCTTCTCATATGTGTTCGAGCACCGCTTAACGTATCTTTTCATATGCGAAAAGCTTCATCCCTTTCAGTTGGCTTAATATCCCCGATTTCGCGAATAATCGTTCCCAACCGACGACCAATAAACTATGAGATGATCGTCGGTTTACTCGGGCTATTATAAATCCTATCAGTTGCCTCTAACTGTCACGGATACGTCCGAACGATATGAATGCCACGTTCCGAGCCAATCATCGAACATTCGAAAACGGTTTCGACGGTATAATTATACGATATGTTAATTAAATCGGGACTGTGGGAACCTGTTGTACGCTAATTCGCTTATGCGAAATCGTTGTGGCAAATGGATGCTAAGTAAATTCAAGTTGCATGTAAATTCCTCTCGCAGAATGCTAATTGCTAATTAATTCTTTATTCGGAAATATAAATTAATACATGCTACGTTGACATCCGCTTCTACATATTTTGTTACCATACCACATTGTGATATAAACTACTGCCACATTTCGGTATTTCTATTAACCAGTACTACACGTACCTAACCTAACCTGATACATGATACTTATTAAATAGATGCATACCTTAAAATGCAGCTGTGCATGTATACATTGTTGCATATTATAAATGCAATTCAATTAAAGAAATTTAATGAAGTTGTAGCCATGACAACAAACGATAACAACAATCTACACGTACCTAGCCTAACCTGATACATGATACTTATTAAATAGATGCATACCTTAAAATGCAGCTGTGCATGTATACATTGTTGCATATTATAAATGCAATTCAATTAAAGAAATTTAATGAAGTTGTAGCCATGACAACAAACGATAATAACAGTCTACACGTACCTAACCTAACATGACCTGATATGTGACACTTATTAAATAGATGCATACTTAAAAATGCAACTGTGCATTTCATTATGCATATTATAAATGCAGTTCAATTAAAGAAACTTGATTATGAAGCTGTAGCAATGGCAACAAATATAACAAACATCTACACGTACCTAACCTAACATGACCTGACATGTGACATATATTAAATAGATGCATACTTTAAAATGCAACTGTGCATGTTATTATGCATATTATAAATGCAGTTCAATTAAAGAAACTTGATTATGAAGCTGTAGCAATGACAACAAATGTAACAAACATTTACACGTACCTAACCTAACATGACCTGATATGTGACACTTATTAAATAGATGCATGCTTTAAAATGCAACTGTGCATGTTATTGTGCATACTATAAATGCTTGATTATGAAGTTATACTTGAAACATACTGAAACTTGATTATGAAGTTATAGCAATGACAACAAACGATACCAAAAAATATATCAACATTTGTCAATTTTCTCGACAGAACAAAGTTAATGAAATACCCTTAAAATAATATCGCTAAAAAATTTGCAAAAATTATATCAAAGATAATTTTTATAAAATATAAATGAATTCGATGTGGACGTTTAAAAGTCTGAATAATTCAGCGATGGTTAGGTAGGTCAACGTTAAAATTTTCCTACGATTTTGATCGAAAGGGTCGATCCGAATGTAAAATTCTGGTTTCGCGAAAAAACCAACCCGTTATCTGACCCTCTTTCCGGCTATGCAAACCAGCAAAGGGGTGGATTTGCACGCACGCGTGCCTACATAAAGGACGTATGTCCACGTCACACTCCTTCCGACCGTGCACGTCCTGGAACAAGGCACGTAGAAGGTCTCTTCCGGACCGTGTTTCCAAAGGACACCGCTTCCAGTTCGCCTCCGTTTTGCTTCTCGTTCACCACACTGAACCCTGCATCCCACCCCATTCTCCACCCTTCATATAGATACCTCTGATATATAGGAAGTTTCCAAAATGGATGGTTCAAGTTTAATCCTCTTAACGAGCAAATTTTTTTCACATTTACATAACATCCATATTTGTGGTATCAGGACCTTCTGAATTAATAAGCGGACGTTCCGAATATAAATAGGGAGGGTTTTCTCAATTTTTGTGATATAGAGGGCTTATCAAGCTCTTTGAGAAACGGGCTGGAGGGAAATTTTTACACATGGGCACGAAAAGTATTTTTATTGAAAATTTATTAGAATGTAGCTTTATGTGAAATCACAATAGAATAGAATCATTGCGAATTTACAATTGAATCATAAAATTTTATGAAATTAATATTTTTTGTATAGATGTTCAGATATTCAGAAATTCAGAAATGTTCATATAAATTTAACATATAAAAATCTATTACCCTGCCATCGATACTCATATTGTTGAATGAGTACGTTATTAATTTCGTGAGCAATAGATAACTTCACTAAATATCCTCGATTAAAAATTTAAGTGTGATTCGTACCCCAAAAAAACGAGAAGATTGCGGAAAAATTTTTTATTCCTGCAGCGAATACGTCGAAAGTTTGTGCACCTGTTTGAGAAACCGCCTGTATATACCGGTAGAAAGTATATAAACCCTTTACTTTCGTCTTATGCATATCTAATGTTCTCGTTGGTCGGATATTTACAAGTCAAATGCGAACGATCGAGTGAAACCGGTACGTCGCTCGGAGGCTGAAAAAGCGAAGAAAAAGCTCACCGCAAGCGCGTTACCAGGGTTTGGATGAGGGTTGAAAGAACAACGAAGACGAAGAAAGGAAGGGAAGAAAGAACGAACGTGGAAGAAACGCGGAGGACGATGTAACGAGAAAAATGGGACGCGCAATGAAGCTCGGAACCGTATTTCTTTTGTCTTGGTGCGGTTCACCGTAAACCCAGGCACAAAAGAATCTTGCCCCTGGTCTTCAGACGATGAAGTCCGGAAGAAGAGATGGTAAAGCGAAGTACGCAAACCATGAGTTTTCCGTTTCGGGCGGAGATTTCAGAAAGTTCCACGATTCGAGGCGGAAATTCGAGCACGAACCATGCCACGATCCGATCTGGGGGGATTCGCTTAAGCTTGTTTTCTCAGTTAAATTAATTCGGGACTAAATATCGAAATCTTTATTAAAATGGAAATGCGAAATTTTCAAATTTCCATATCCCGAAATTTTATCCTTGCTCGACAAACATTTTCATTGCGACAATTTCTAAACCGCGTAAAGATCTTCCTAGGGATACTTCTTCTGGCTTAAAAGCAACCACTCGATAAACGAGCTATCATCCAATTGTGTGATCCGGTTATAAATATTTGATCACAATGTCACCGACCGATCCGCTGCTTGACAAACGCGGTTTGTCAACGGTGTACACCAACGAACGATAATTGAATTTGTGTAATCGACGTAACGCCCGCTTATATTGGTCCCGTGGGCATTGACGTTATTATAACGTTCAGCGTTATCCCACCCCGTTGCTGAAGAATCGATTTACCAGTGTATGTACACCCATGTCGTTACCCTTCCTCTTCATCCCAATTTTTCGTCGCACTCGCTAAGAAGTACAGAACGTCCCAAAAATAGTGGTCCGTTCAAAAACCGTGGATTCTTCCTGCAAGCACATTTATTTTTCACGCGATCATCCTACTATGTGTTCATTCATGAAGCGTACTTCAGCGTACGCAACTCTTGAAGCGTCCTGTACAGCTAAGCCTGTCTTTATTACCTCTTTTTCCTGAACTTTTGGAATAAATTCAAATGACAAGAAGGTCGTCAGCGCTAGGTCGTTTGCCTCGACCTGTTTTACTTACAGTTTGTATCCCTGGAGGAAGCTACAAAATGAATTGTACCGAGAGCCACCTCCGACCGAAAGAGTAATTTGATGCACAACCTCGAATTCCACGGGCTTGGACGATAATAAAAGGGGCACAGCGTGCGGGGCGTCTTGTTTTATTAATTTAAATTCTGCAACGCGACTGGTGATCGTGGTGAGAGGACACCAAAACGATATTAAGTTAAATTACAAACAGTCCGTGCTAAGGTGGTCTCCGGTTCGAGATTAACACGGGAACACGGGCTAAGAAACACGCGGGAGGAAAGCGGCTGGGTGGAGCGACGTAAAAAACAAGATGGAAGAAAAAAGAAAAGTAAAATGAAGAGGGCGGAAGAAACGGAGACAGCTCGGAAGTGTATATTGCCGAGAATCGTGCTCCTCGGACTTGCCTGATAACGGAGAAAGTTGAGTTTTCTCTTGTTGATCGTACTGTTCGGGCCTGCACTCATCCCTCGGGTCGAAAAGGAAGATTTTCCGTAAACCTTGCTAGTTGAAGAAAGTCTTCTTAATTAAAATTCTCCTAGCGAATTACTCTAAAAGTTTGCCGATTCTTTTATCCTAAATTTCCTTTCCCTCAATCGACCATCGAATAACGATATTTATTTACCCCTGTAAAAAATACAGAGATACTTTGATTAACGAAAGAGAATCTTAAAATTACTGTAGATATTAACACTGCATGCAGAAATTCATTATACGGGCGAAATAAATCAGCTGCCAAGTATTTCCAACGAATTCGCAAAGACTCGAAGTTGCTCGAAACTGCCTCGTTTTCACCCGCAAAATATTTCCGCTGTCTTGTTCCGGTCGGAAGCGTTTCCCGTGATACACACAACCGAACAAGTTCTAATCTCATCGATCATGTTTCTCTTGTTAACAGAAATCCTCGGGATGGAGCTAAGAACGGCGAAACTGTTATTCTACTCGGCGTTGGTGGTGGCGGTGTGTTGGTGCCAGGAAGATTGGACGGCTCAATGCTCATCCTTCTGCAAGTGCAGATGGATTTCCGGCAAGAAGACCGCCGAATGCGTGAAGCAGAATCTCACGCAGATACCTAGCGGTCTATCGTCGGAGATTCAGAACTTCGACCTGACCGGCAATCGCATTATTCATCTGATGCACGACTCGTTCAGCCACGTTCACCTGGTGAACCTTCAGAAGCTGGTGTTGCGCAGGTGCGAGATCGAGACGATTCACACGGCCGCTTTCAACGGGCTGAAGATCGTGATCGAGATCGATTTATCGGCGAACAACATCAGAACACTGAACCGGGGCACGTTCGTGGAGACGCAGAGGTTGAGGGTGTTACTCTTGAACGATAATAAGCTGAAGGTCCTGGAGAACGGTCTCTTCCGTGATCTAGTTTATCTGCAGAAGGTAATGTTGTCCAACAACCAGTTGGAACTAATCGAGGAGAAGACGTTCCACAATCTGCCCGGTCTGCGATTGGTGACCCTGGACGGCAATAATCTGAGCACCCTGGGGGTGCAGAGTTTCGAGTCGTTACCGACACTTGGCAGCCTGGAGCTCCATAATAATCCCTGGAACTGCAATTGCCATCTAAAGAGATTCCGCAATTGGACGATAGAGAGGAAGTTGTACACGAAGCCTACCACGTGTCACGAGCCGCCTAATTTGGCCGGGAAGATGTGGGACGAGATCAACGGCGACGAGTTCGCCTGCAGACCGGAAATCTTCACGATCGGCCCATCCGTGAAGATGGAGTTCGCCAGGGGGAACGTCACCTTCTGGTGCAAAGCCACCGGGACTCCGCAGCCACAGGTAACCGTATAAATTTCTGTTAGAGCGGGAAAGTTGTCGGTTAACGAAGAGAGGGTGAGGGAAAGGAGAAGAAAGGCGGAACGAAATAATGGTGAAATATTATAAAACGAGACGCGGTAAAGCCTGGATAACGTTGACTGCTGTAATCCACGGTAAGTTGCAAGCAATTCGGTATACAATCCGGTTCAACGCGGAAGTTAGGTCCGTTGAAAAGATCGCGTCGTCGGTTAAATCCGCGTTCGGGCAGCTTAGCTTGAAAGCTCCTAAACGATCTCGGCCAGTGGAACATTGTTCTCTGATTTCAGAAGGAAAGGATTGTATTTTGTTTTTTTTTTTTAATGTTTACCCACCATGAACGTATATTTCTTTCACGACGTTGCAACAGCCTCAGCGGTATATTTTATGTGCGGGTTGTAAAAGCTTTCTTTCTCTGACTCTGGTAATGGCTTTTGATTACAACGCAAGTCGACACATTTTTCTGTACCTCGTAATTCCAGAGACCCTGCTAATGATTCAAAATGCGTATAACTAAAATTATAGCTATATAAATTTCTCGTGCCGCGTCACAGATGAATTATTCCGTTTTAATGTTTGGCAGAATTTTCCGCTTTGAAGTAGAAAGTTTGCGTAGCTTTCAGACAGTGGTAAACGAGTGTATAAGTTGTTGAACAAAATTGGATATGAACCGTAAAAGTAGATCGGTAAAGCGAAAAGTGTTAGTAAACACGGATAGAAGAGCTAACGATTAAGCTAATTATAATTAAAGTATAGAATCTCGTAATTGCTTGCAATGTACTCTCGGTAACGTTCATAAAATTCTTGATGGTTCGCTGAGTTTCACCGATAAGCTCTTTTTAAAGTTCAAAAATTCATTTTCTTTTCTTTGTGCCTTGCATTTCCTTTCTGACCCATAATAATCCCTGGAACTGCAATTGCCATCTAAAGAGATTCCGCAATTGGACGATAGAGAGGAAGTTGTACACGAAGCCTACCACGTGTCACGAGCCGCCTAATTTGGCCGGGAAGATGTGGGACGAGATCAACGGCGACGAGTTCGCCTGCAGACCGGAAATCTTCACGATCGGCCCATCCGTGAAGATGGAGTTCGCCAGGGGGAACGTCACCTTCTGGTGCAAAGCCACCGGGACTCCGCAGCCACAGGTAACCGTATAAATTTCTGTTAGAGCGGGAAAGTTGTCGGTTAACGAAGAGAGGGTGAGGGAAAGGAGAAGAAAGGCGGAACGAAATAATGGTGAAATATTATAAAACGAGACGCGGTAAAGCCTGGATAACGTTGACTGCTGTAATCCACGGTAAGTTGCAAGCAATTCGGTATACAATCCGGTTCAACGCGGAAGTTAGGTCCGTTGAAAAGATCGCGTCGTCGGTTAAATCCGCGTTCGGGCAGCTTAGCTTGAAAGCTCCTAAACGATCTCGGCCAGTGGAACATTGTTCTCTGATTTCAGAAGGAAAGGATTGTATTTTGTTTTTTTTTTTTAATGTTTACCCACCATGAACGTATATTTCTTTCACGACGTTGCAACAGCCTCAGCGGTATATTTTATGTGCGGGTTGTAAAAGCTTTCTTTCTCTGACTCTGGTAATGGCTTTTGATTACAACGCAAGTCGACACATTTTTCTGTACCTCGTAATTCCAGAGACCCTGCTAATGATTCAAAATGCGTATAACTAAAATTATAGCTATATAAATTTCTCGTGCCGCGTCACAGATGAATTATTCCGTTTTAATGTTTGGCAGAATTTTCCGCTTTGAAGTAGAAAGTTTGCGTAGCTTTCAGACAGTGGTAAACGAGTGTATAAGTTGTTGAACAAAATTGGATATGAACCGTAAAAGTAGATCGGTAAAGCGAAAAGTGTTAGTAAACACGGATAGAAGAGCTAACGATTAAGCTAATTATAATTAAAGTATAGAATCTCGTAATTGCTTGCAATGTACTCTCGGTAACGTTCATAAAATTCTTGATGGTTCGCTGAGTTTCACCGATAAGCTCTTTTTAAAGTTCAAAAATTCATTTTCTTTTCTTTGTGCCTTGCATTTCCTTTCTGACTCGACCTAAAAGGAAAGATCGCCTCGGGACGTCCTTTATTCGTAGACCCTCGATCCTTTATACTCTTAAATCAAATATTCCTCATTCACACCTGAAACTCTCGAATTCTGTCGCAAGCACTTTAACTTTTCTGTTCGCTCAGACTTCCCTTGCTCGTCTCTGCCTTAAAAATGTATTCGCGCTCACACATGTACCATAACGTTTCGACGGATTCCCTTCAGTAACAGCGTTGCCGAATGACTATCTTAGAATAAATTTCGTTTCATTTTCGCGACGCGATCGTTCTCGACAATTCCTCTAACGTTATATTCCCCGGTGACCTCAAAAACATGTCGTGAAATTTTCTTGATTTAATGAAACCCTTTGATTTCGCGGAGAATAACGCGCTACAAAAGAGTGAAAAGGTCGTCTTTTGAAATCACATTGAACAAAAGAAAGACGTAGTTACGCGAGCTTTTGCGTGCGATAACGAAGTCCTTTCAAATTCTCCCCGCTATGAAAACTGAAAATTAAGAACACCCTTAAAAAATGTTCGCACACGCTCCTTCTTATATGCATTTTCAAGGGCTCGCTGTAAACAGCGACGCGACAGCTCGATATTCAACCTCTACAATTTTCGTTACACTTACTATGAGCGTAACGCAGTCTGAACACTTCTTGACATAATCGTAAACGGATGATCCTCCTTTCGGACAAGAGGTATCGTCTAACTTTGTCATCTTTAATTAGTATAGGTATTATTTACGAAGATGGTATTAGTTGAGCGAGGGTTGAAGATGATAAAGTTGAAGACAATAACCGGTTCTCAAATCTTGAGTTTTACAGTTTGATTTTCCATTTCAGCTCTTCTGGATCTATCGATCGAGAACTTTAAGAAACGACAGCAGAAGGCATAATGGAGAGAAGGGTTACATCCTGAAGTCCAGCCACGACTGGTTGAACCTGACGATACCGGACGTCACGCCCTCGGACAAGGGCGATTACGTCTGCCTGGCGAAAAGTCCAGGCGGAAATACGGAGAAAAACGTGACTCTGGCCGTCGCCGGCGACGCTATGGGTGGCAAAGACAATATAATCAGTCTACCGCTCGCGCTAGGGTTAGGTGTGACCGCGTTGCTGCTTCTGATCGTCACCGTGTCGCTGTGCGTGTGTTACTGTCGTCGTCGTCGAACCAGGCACGACGAGAAGAGCCTGGAGGCCGCCTCGATGGAACACCACGGTCTCGGCGAGCAGGAGAAGTCGCTGATCACCACCATAAATCCGGTGGTGAAGCCACCCAGACGCTACGAGACGCCTTCCGTGACGTCGCACGGCACCGAGATGACGGAGCTGAATCGCACGCTGCTCGACAACGACTCGGTCTTCGGTCAGTACACTGCCTACATTACTAAACAGTGCGTGGCCAGGTGCTAGCTACTAACCATTTGTTACTTCCTGCCACGATTCACGACGAGATGCTCGTCGCAGGACGGTCGTTGCACGCTCTTCGATGGCGCTCGCGTGTGAAACGGCTCCCACCGGCTCCGAGAAGGTCGATAGAGTAATGGTCTTTCGAGTTTCTTTGCAGTATCGATACTTGTTCCGCGCGATTGCTCACGAATCGCGTCGCTTCGAGCGTCCAATTCGATTCTACGAATTAAATCCCGCCTAACTGGTTAGGCGAATATACTTGGTACATATCCGACAGATGGGATCAATTTGATCTGAATAACGTAGCGTGTCCGAGAACAGAAATTTTAGAGTCTAATTGCTCGGTACCCTCTGACCGATTTTTATGCAATTTTGATACGATATACAGGGTGTATCCTCTAAGATTAGTTGCAAAGTTTATGGGAATTTGAATTTTTAACGGTGCGATACGTTATCGATACTTAATCGATAATATCGCTACGATGTGAAGGGAGATTAAAAAATTTGAAGAGCATCTCCGGCCCGAGAATTAAAGGTCAATCGATAAAACGTGAACGAGAAACTTCATAAAAAATTTAACGTCCAAACGAAGATTAATTCGGATACCGTTAACTCAACAGCGACCATTAATCTTTCGATTTCCTTCGAAAACACTGGCTGTTACGACTCGCGACAAATATCGTCGCTAATCAAGGATAGAACAGATTAATTGAGTCGTACACGGCGAGTGCGCTTAATTCGAAGACGATGTTGCTTCGGCGGTGACGCGGCTTGGGTTCAGTAATCCCGCGAGCAGATAAACGAGGCGCCATCGATCCTGGGTTAACGAGTATCGACCAAGACTGTTGCAAGATTAATGAGAGCGTGCAACGCGTCGCGATCGAGAGGAGAAAGGCATTCGTCAATTGTGTCTGGTTTCTGTCGATAGCGTTTTTCTTTTTCTCCCTCGAACAACCTCGTTTTCCACGCAACAAGAAAACATAACTCTGATCAGACGTTGGCTATCGTTAATTAGACGAGACGTATCTAATCGTCCCGTTACGGTTTCATAGACGTATCGCGTATGCGAGACGATTATTTTGATAAAATTGTAAATACGTCGCTACGACGAACAGCAAATTATTATACGTACTATTACGTCATCAAGCGTTCAAGAGAATCGAAGTATTTTTGTCCTTAGAATGATCGCAGGCTTCTTGTAGCGGTAACGGTCTTGTACATAGTATACGCTCTGCGGAGAATACAGGGTAGGCAAAATAATGGAATATCTAAGAAACCTTTGACAATGTTCCGGTCTTTCAATGTTTTTGATAAGTTCATTGGGATCCTATCAAATTTCGCTGAAAGCTATTGGAAATTTGCCCAATACAAATCAAAGAACGTAGACACAAAAATTCCTTTATTTTTTTGTAAAATTATTTCAAAGTAACACGTTAAGGTTTCAGTAGGTGACTGTCTATTCATTGAATAACTACAGCTAAAGATTCTACCTTTCTGGAAGAGGTTGTTTTAAAATGAAGCTAATAGTACACTTCACACAATAACTTCAAATTATTTTCATTAAGAAATATGAAGAAGAGAATGCACCAGAAAGGATAATTTTTTGTTGTACAATTTGACCGTACCAAAGAATGTAGCAGGCTCCATTATTTTGTCGAAGCCCTGTAAAACGTTAGTTACGCTTATGTACATAGAGTTCGCGTAGCGGAATAAAAGAAGAAAAAAAGCAAAAATTAGTGAGACACGGGACGAAAAGTAACCGGAAGTATCGCGCAAGAGAAAAAGCAAGAGAGAGGATATTGTTGTTAATTGAAACGTTATTGGTCGTACGGCAGCGTGAATAATGAAAATACAAGGAGAACAAAAGGGTAGCAAGCGGTCGGGATTGCGCTAGACGTGGAGTGGTGATTAAAACGATAAGGGAAAAGTAAAGTGCACGAGTTCCGTGACGTTCGGTTCGGTTAACACAAAGGAACGGTAATGATCATTACACAACGCTCTCGTCTGAATTAGCAAATTGGCGTTTTATTAAGAACGATACGGACAGTTGTTCAGCGTGTTGCTTCCGTGTACACCTAACCCACCCTCTTTGTCTATGCACCTTCAAAGATAGTACATAATTGAAATTGTCGACGGGTTCTCGCATCTGAACGGTTACCTTCCTCGCTTCAATTACCACCGCGTTCACGGTATCCCTTTGTATCAACCCACGGCTCCACTCTCGTGTCCTAATTTCTCGTCCGATTGCCATTGAACGGGATCCGAACGTTGAAAAACGCGAACCACGATAAAACTTCTTCACGATTACTGGCCCTCTCGTTTACCTGTCATCGACACTCGTCAAGATTTCACTCGAACACATTCGCAATCCTGCGACTCGCGTGTGGGCGAGAACGGCTGCAAGGTTGGTGTACGTGTCACGAAGCTCTCCGAGACGAGAAGATTGCAGGGCAAAGTCTTTGACTGCGACTGAAGCACGATAAAATTGGAAAAAGAAAGAAACCAAGTGCATTCGCGTCGATCTGTATTTCATTTTCTTGACAGATTCGTTACGAAAAAGTCGCAACGAGAGATGGCGTTTAAATTACAACTGGAAAGTGTAGCCTACGAAACGGACTGCGCTCGACCAGTGGCGTAACTAGCACTTTTGATTCGACAGCTCCTTCTGCTAGTATCACTTTACCATTTTGATGATTTAGAGCTTTGGAAATTTGCGATTTGAGTACTCAGAAATTTCAAGATTTAGGGATTCAGAAATTTAGATATTTAGCAATTTGGTAACAGCTGATCTGGAAGTTACGGAGTTCGAAAATCTGAAAATTTGAAATTTATGGATTTGAGAATTGGGAAGTTTAGGTAATTGGGGTTTCGGGAAAATGTAGAGAATTAGAAATTTGAGAATTCGGATATTAAATTTAGAGAATTGAAGAAATTGGGAATTTGTAAATTTGGAAGATTAGGGACTTGAGAAAAATTTAATTATTGAGATGGCTTTAAAATTTGAAAATTGGAAATAAAAAATTTCTTCCGATCCACAACCGTAACTAAGGCCCCGGTCCATAGCTAGTTACGCCAATGGGGTCGACCCACTTTTCTTCCGATGAACTTTATCTCAGAGGGCACGATCGATTTACGTGTCTTCGCGATACAAGTCGTGACAGATCTTCTACATTATATATTACGTCTTCTGATACGGTTCCATGGTATCTGACGTAAGTTCCCCTTCGAAAAGAGGTATCGTCTGAATATTTATATCATTACGGAGCTCGTACCGTCCTTGGATCTCGAACATTTGCTTCTCAGATATGTACGAAGCTGCAGAACGTCTGTGCAATCGATCGATCGAGAAAGTACGATAATACGGTTGCTTATTTCAAATTTACCGGTTGTTAATGTTCAAGTAGTTAGGCACAGGGATTGTAACTTTAACGAGAATAGGATATGGGTCCCTAAAATATGCTGGCTACATAATCTCATCCAACACGGCGGTCGATGTTAGGCTATGGGTACATAACCCGGTTAACCCGCCATCTCGCAGGTTACAGCGAGTGCTGTCACGTTTAATACCAGCGGTTGAAATGGTTACGAAAATAGCTGTTAACTGTTATCTATGAAGGCTCTCAGTGAAATAAGTACTTACCAGTTTCCATATCTGAGGTTAACCGGGTTTATCCTTCAATTTCAGAAAAGACCAATACGTTTATCTAGGCTTAGACGTACTCAAGGTAAAATGACCATCGACGATATCGGAAATTGAAAAAATCCTAAAATACTTGACGTCTTCGTAAAGAATCTCACCATCCATTCAGAGCGAGTCATCGATGTCCCGCCGACAGCATCGTCAAACCCGCGCTTACATTATTTTTTTTCCGTTTAATTTCTATTATAATTTAATTACCGCGCACCTTCCACTTTTCTTTCTTAACGTTCGTCCTTGTTTTTTTTGTTCATGGTTCTGGCAGCTGATGGTATCGGTGGCGGTGTCGGCGGCGGAGTGATCGGCGGGGTCGGCGACGACGAGAGGGAAGAACGAGCTACGCCCGAGCTAGAGAGCGGTACCGGCACGCTGTGCCGCGGAGGTGGCGGAAGTTATCGCCAGTATCCGCCGGATCTGTTGGCCTTCTCGGGTGGTCGAGGCGCATCGCCGACGAGCCAGGCGTCCACGGCACCCGACAACACTCGTCTGCCGAGTCAGCACGCGACGCCGAGCGCGGCCGCGTACGGTTCACCTGCGAACCAATACCCTGCCGCTTTCAAGACTTTGCCGCACAATCGAAGCGTCACCCCCTATGGAATCGCCAGTTCCACGATCGCGCCGGTGATGCCACGCCACGGCTACGTGACGATACCGCGAAGACCCAGGGCACCCAGCTGGAGCAGCGGTCCACCCACATCGCCCACCGACGGCCTCGAACCGGTCTACGACAACCTTGGAGTGCGCAGCACCGCCGACGGTAGCTCGAGGCTGTCGTTGAACAAGAGTCCGGAACCTCTGTCCTCCATCAGGAATCGACCTCTGCCAGGAACGCCCAGTTCCCATTACGGCACTATTCAACGAAGTACCCCGAACATACTGACAAGCAGCCCTCTCGACAGAGCCGCTCCCGAGGGCGCCGCAGAATGGCCGACCAAGATCGCCGACGAATCGACCGACAGCAACCATGTGCTTAGCCAACCGCAACCTCAACAATCGTCCAGCAATACTCTGGGAAGAAAAGTGCCACCCAGACCACCCCCGAAGCCGAAGAAGAAGTCCACCAACGGCCCATTGTACGAGGACGAAGGCGAAGACGGGACGGAGGTATGATCTACGTACGTAGGTCGACGAAGATGAGGCCGCGAGGTCGTGGCCGTGTTAAGCGGAAGAGACGCATGACCGAGGTCACAATAAACCGGTAGTGCCTTTGACGAAGAGACGATCCGTGCTTCGTGCGAGTTCACGTGTTCGGTTGGAGTGGGTCAGTTTGCTCGTCGAGCGTGCGGGGGCTTCCACATCCGGTGAAACAAGTCGGGTGAAACGCTGACTCGCTGGAATAGCAACAAACTCTTTCTTGTACTTCTTTCTCTTTTTTTTATTTACTTCGTTTTTCTTTTTTCTTGTATTTTTTTAATTTATTTAGTTCGTGACGTGATCCGGCACGCTGTGCCGCGGAGGTGGCGGAAGTTATCGCCAGTATCCGCCGGATCTGTTGGCCTTCTCGGGTGGTCGAGGCGCATCGCCGACGAGCCAGGCGTCCACGGCACCCGACAACACTCGTCTGCCGAGTCAGCACGCGACGCCGAGCGCGGCCGCGTACGGTTCACCTGCGAACCAATACCCTGCCGCTTTCAAGACTTTGCCGCACAATCGAAGCGTCACCCCCTATGGAATCGCCAGTTCCACGATCGCGCCGGTGATGCCACGCCACGGCTACGTGACGATACCGCGAAGACCCAGGGCACCCAGCTGGAGCAGCGGTCCACCCACATCGCCCACCGACGGCCTCGAACCGGTCTACGACAACCTTGGAGTGCGCAGCACCGCCGACGGTAGCTCGAGGCTGTCGTTGAACAAGAGTCCGGAACCTCTGTCCTCCATCAGGAATCGACCTCTGCCAGGAACGCCCAGTTCCCATTACGGCACTATTCAACGAAGTACCCCGAACATACTGACAAGCAGCCCTCTCGACAGAGCCGCTCCCGAGGGCGCCGCAGAATGGCCGACCAAGATCGCCGACGAATCGACCGACAGCAACCATGTGCTTAGCCAACCGCAACCTCAACAATCGTCCAGCAATACTCTGGGAAGAAAAGTGCCACCCAGACCACCCCCGAAGCCGAAGAAGAAGTCCACCAACGGCCCATTGTACGAGGACGAAGGCGAAGACGGGACGGAGGTATGATCTACGTACGTAGGTCGACGAAGATGAGGCCGCGAGGTCGTGGCCGTGTTAAGCGGAAGAGACGCATGACCGAGGTCACAATAAACCGGTAGTGCCTTTGACGAAGAGACGATCCGTGCTTCGTGCGAGTTCACGTGTTCGGTTGGAGTGGGTCAGTTTGCTCGTCGAGCGTGCGGGGGCTTCCACATCCGGTGAAACAAGTCGGGTGAAACGCTGACTCGCTGGAATAGCAACAAACTCTTTCTTGTACTTCTTTCTCTTTTTTTTATTTACTTCGTTTTTCTTTTTTCTTGTATTTTTTTAATTTATTTAGTTCGTGACGTGATACTATTTGCATTTTATCGTGAGCGAGGGAGACTGTCTACGGTAGATTCCTCGCGAGGACGATGTGACCGAATCTGGTGGAATATGTGGATGTCTTTGGTTCTTTGCGTTCCTCGAGATGTTCGTTGACGGTGACCGGTGTTGGGCAGAGCAAGGACCCGCCAAAGAGCTCGGGGCACGGGTGTCCACGACACGGGCAGGAATGGGTGTGGGATTCACGGAAATTTCAAATTTGTACGTTTTTTGGTTTATTCGGTAATTCGGAAATTTAAAAATTCGGTCATTTCGTAATTGGGAAATTTAACAAGTTGATAATTTTAAACCTTCAAATTTCTAAATCTCCAAATGCAGAGATTTAAAGATTTGAAAATCTTGAAAGCTAGAAATACGAAGATTTTAAATTTCCGAATTGCGAAATTGAAAATTACCCATCGATGTCCACGAGCATGCCACTTGTTCATCCGTGCATCGCGTCCTCGATGGCATAGTCGCCCATCACTGACAAAGACAACCAACGGTATGGACGTTCGTACTTGTTCAAGTAATAAAAAGAGTTGATAGTTGACGAGTTCGCAAATAAATTGTGTAAAGTACAGAACGTTAGCGATAAGGATGACGCTACTTCTGAAGTGCGTTCTAACTTATTCACGTGCTTGTTGCATGCCTAACGAAGATCGCGTTCAATCCGATACATGGACATCGTGAAATGCTGAACGTGATCTGGTACCTCTCTTAATCTTTATTCCTACAATTTTTTAATTTACATTTTTGTATTCAATGTGTACAAGACGACGTTGATTCTTACAAGATTATTTTTTTTATTCCTCGAGGAAACGCCTTCCTTTTATCGTTAGTTTTAAGATCTCTGTTTCTTCGCGGTAATCGGCATTACGCGAAGGGAGTTACTTTTGTAATTGTACGTCGACAAGAAACCATGCGAATTGTTTCCAATAATGTAAGAACAAACGTGTTAGGATAACGACGATGTTAGAATAATTGTTTCTGCGTAAGAATATCCTCCGACTGTATCTCAATGGTAACAAAATAACGCAGATGTTCCAGTGTGAGTGTAACGAGACCATAATCGATAGAATTCTTCGCGAAGAAAATCGACGTTACGAGACACCGTGACCAAACGAATCTTAATCGCTTTCAAGCGGGTTTATTCGGAAATATTTTAATATCCTCACAGGCCATGATACTTCTACCAGGAGGGATCTCGACGTTCGTGGTGTAAGGAAACATCGTACAGCCTGTACATATAACTCGAATGTTATACGTAATAGTTCATTCGATATGGAACCTCGATGATGGTTCGGAGACAAGTCTATTCCCGAATTAGAGATACATCTTCTATGAAAAACGTTGTATATGCAAATAAAAATTGATCTTAAAAGGTGCGATATTAAATACAGTACTCGAATGATTTCAAGAAACATAAGTTATAAAAATTAATATCCTGAATAATTTTATGTATACCTGTAAGATTCGTTTTTGAGGTTCAAAGATAATGCAGTTATTATTTCAGGCGTAATGTCATTGTTATAAATTAAATCATTTTGACATAATGTTTGATATGTTCTCAATTGTAATGCAAGATTTCTGATGATACAGTGTAACGTTTAATATAAATTATAGTTTATATTTCATAAATCATAACAATATAAAATACTTCAGAATTAAAAAAGATGGTATAGATAAAATTACAGAGAAGAATTAAGTTCTATAACATATTAGAAAATTGAAATTAACGAGACAACCACTTCTGCAGTTAGATCACTTTCGAGTTCTTTATTCGATTTCGTCTCGTTCCCCTTTCGATCACCTTCTTCGAACTAGTTTCACTTTGTACGATGTTTGTAATACTTTCGGCCATCGATCTTGCACGACGAACGAAAATTCCATTGTTCGGGAAGATAAACACTTGCAGTCGACTCAATTCCCGCGGTTTCGTAGATACGGACCACGAATAACGATCGCTCTTGAACTAAACGTTTATCGCCCGTAAGCCACCTAACTTGTTATACTTTCGCTGCGTTTTATCCGGGTTTTAACGTTGCATTCACGACTTTAGCGGGGGATTTCGGGATCGATCGTATTCTCAACTTGTTGCGAACAGGAGACGAATCCTTATCCACAACCGAAACACTACTTTTCGACTACTCCCGATGTTTCAAGTATCTAAGGAATTGTTTAGGTAACAAGGTTGATAAGGTTCCATATGTTCTATTCTGTAGATCCAATAACAGATTGATGTCCAATAATTTTTAGGTAACTTTCATTTTATAAAGAGGTTAATGCCTCAAAATTAGTGTACTTCAGTCACCTGCCATCAAGGTGTTAAATCTATGAATTTCTATCGAATCATTTAAAAAGTACCATAATTCGAACAATGCAATTTACTCAGTTGGTCAAACGACTGGAAAGACTCTGTTCGATCGAAGATACAATTAAATAAGTTTATTGTCACATCTCATTTCTTTTCCTAACCAAATTTGAACTCTTGGACAACGTGATAATAAAACAGACAGCTATTATAAATCGCGACCCAGACATGTATCTCCATTTCCATTTTAGTGAACAGTTTAGCTTTTCAAATTACGTAATTTGAGAAGTATATTACGTAATTATGCATCTTCACTAGTTATAAAATTGCAGATCGTATCTCAACCTAGCATTCGTCTAAGGGTTATAATAAGGTGCGCGGTTCATCACCGTGTAATTCATAATAGATATAAGATGGCAACTACTTATTTCCGACAGTGTATTTTAATTTACATATTTAAGTCTTTTGCGTTTAAAGCAGCTCCTTAAAATTTCAAGCAGCTTATTGAGAGACTCGGAAGCATCTCTAAAGTACTTATCTCCCAAACACTGTATCCAAGGCACTTTCGTATACACGACATTTAGGAGAAGATGTAGCTGCATTTATAAAACATTCAATGACAATAGATATATATACTTTCTTAGACTGATATCATTTTCGCGTGTCTTCGATCTTGCAGATCGTTCCAGTTGTTTGATAGTTAGGGAAGTTTTTGTTTCTGTAACCACTCGATGATAGCCACAGATTTGACGATGCATCTTCCCTGAAGATCGCAGCATACCTAAACAGTATTATGAAATAATCTCGATGACGACGGTGCGGCATTCGGTGGGACGATCTGGAGAAAATCGCGACTCGATCGTGTAACTTCCTTTCTTCGTGAAGAAATTAATGTGCGTTTAGTCGATAAGGGACGATTAAGTTTAAATAGGTGCCAACTCTCTTGTCCCTCGTTTACAAATTTCTGAATTTTTTAAGTCCCTAAATCTCTTTGCTCCTTAATAGTGATCAAGCGTGAATAATACTGTTATCATTTTGTATTGATCCTCTCATTCTGAAAATATCCGCCGTATTAAAGTCATATGGAATGTACTCATTAAAATTGGAGGGAAGAATCATTCATAGCTACGGTCCTGTCACAATTTCACCGATAAAATATTGGTTCTAGAAATGGCTGACACGTGATCATAAATTCTATTTAATCTATTGAAAGTTCCAGCGACTTCCTTCGATAAATTTTTAAGAACCTTTCCAGACGGGGTCTAATTGAAAAGTTCATTGAATGCAGAGGATATAGAAATATTTTACAGGAGAATATTTTCTAAGCCGAACTAAGAATTGGAACGCACAAAGAAAACTGATCGACTAGCACAAAATCGAAGTTACACGAGCGACGATCGTCGCGAATTATTTTAAGCGGCCTAGCAGAGTCGCGGCTCGTCGGATCCAATCATTGTGCCGCGTCCTGTAAATACACGGACCTTAATTCGCACGGTAATTCACGATGTTGTTTATATGTAAATGTGGGCACGTTCAAAGCAACGCGGCACGGCAGGTTGGTACGGCGCCACGAGTATATTTTTGTAATTTTGTATTTTGACGATTTCTCCGGTAACAGGAAGTCCCACGATGACCGCGCGGGGAAGATAACATCGTCCATGTTCTCTGATACTAATGGCAATCTGACGGATAATGTCAAATCTCGTACGAACAGTCAAACATGGTCAACCTTTATTTGTACATTAACTCCTTGTTGACAGTCGTATGCATACTGGTATTTGATTTTTTTCATTGAAACTTATTTTGTTCAAAATCCTTTAGGAGAACGTTGGTTTCATTAGAAGGGAAACAGAGGTTTGATATAATCACACGTGCTATTTTTTATTTTTTATTAATGTAGAGTCTTTTTTCTGTTCTCGTACAATTCACTTCGTTACAATTGTTATGTGAGATTTGTGACAGATCGGAAGTTAATTTGCCTCGCAAAGGAAGGGATTATATCTGAGGGTCTCAACGAGATTCGTTTCACATTCCGTGATGCACTAACCATTTTACCGTCACTGAGTAATAATGACACGAGTCGCTACGTGAAAATAGAACACATACAGGCTCCGCAATTTCAGAACCCCAGGAGTCGACCTGCGTGTTCTATGTACCGTTAACCGAGGCATGTTTACCAGGTACGCGTATGACGAACCACCAGTCAGCGTGCAATTATTATCACGGGGATACTTTGTGCGTGCGGTTAGGCTGTTCGTCGCTTTAATGAGACTCTCGCTTTGACACCCGAACGCTATAAACCGAACAACATGGTTCATCGTGCGCATCTGCCATCCTCCCCGAAGACTCTCCTTCGCCCTGAACGATCGTTTGCGATCGATCGACGAGAATCTCCTTCGACGACCGTTTCTCTCCCTAATGACTCTGCGTATCTACCTGTTAGGTATATATGTATATATTATATCCGCTTGAAGTCGCTTTGTGACGAGAATCGATATCGCGATGGACGTGAAAGAGTGAGTAATGAATTTCACGTAGTAATGCGACGACTGAGATTTTTCGAGACGAAAGGTTTTCTAGGGAATTAGCCGCGATTCGCGGGGTTAATAGGTCGCGATGAAAGGACGACGTTCCAGGACTTGTTACCGGTTTTCTGGTTAAATTGCGGAGTAATTGAGCGTAGATGGAAGACACTTCGTGAAACGAGTCTACTTCACGCCGATGTCGACGATTAGCGAACTTGATCGCGTCCGTAGCGAGAATATTAGACGTTCGATCGAGCAAATCGTTTACCGGGCTCATCTCGCTTGATAATTGACAAGCGAAAAGGGACGAGAACAGTTCTCCTCTTCCAAATACAGTGGATCAAACATTCATTTTTTGAAATAGAGTAACTTTTTTAAAATTAGGCCAGACAAATTTTAAACAGAAATTATTTAGAAGGCCTGACCATCTTGTATACAATGGATGATCAAATTATTAAATCCACTTGTATCGACAATTTTTAATTAATTTTTAGGTGCGATGTTTTAATCTTTGCAACATGCAAATAATCTGGTTCTAATAACTTGATCGTTCACTGATCGAAGTAGCCAAATCGAATAATTTATACTGCCAAAAAGAGGGTACAGTTACAAAGAATAAGACGTTCTCATCTCCATGTACTTAAAAATCGCCAGCGGTTCTGTCGTCCATCTTGATTTCAAAGTGCAGCAACAGCAACGGTTATCCCCGGCGGGAATTAACTGAAACTACATTTCGACCGACCTCTGTAGATAATACCCTTAGTTCTGACACTGAGATATTGGCGTGAAGTTCTTGATCTGCATCTGTGTACGGATGTAACTACCGTCCAATACACCGATCCGACCACAACCATCTGGACGTAACGCGCGTGTGCAATTAATCTAATTTAATGAACCAACGGATGCTTTGGAACGCCGTGTTCCTCGGGGATTTCTGGTAGCTCATCGTTTTCGTGACGTTTTCAGTCATATTCATTTTAGGATAACATACCAAGTTCGATAAGAACAGTATTCCTTGCATGTTTCTTTCATTTTCAACTCGTATCTCGTTTCAAAGAGATCTCGGAGATCGGTATACCCATATTCATGCTATGGTCAATATTTTAGTATAGACCAGGTGGTCTGAAATAAAATATTTTTTGTCCCTCTCGTTTCTTTTGATCAGACGAACGCTATTTCGAAACTAAATCTATTGTGTCAATAGATATTGAACGTATGAAATAAATATAGACTGTCAATAAATATTAACGGAATTGACAATATTGTATTGACAGCATATTTGGAGGACTCCTATGTAACCCTGGTGCATTGTTCGATTTAAACTGAACGAAAATGGAAATTCAATATCTAGTGATTTTTTAACGACTCGTCCTATTTGTGTGAAATTGAAATATTTTTATTGAAAGTATTCGAGAAATACTTTAACGATAAGAATGTCTATAATACGAACTTTAGTGGATAACGAGCTGATGCTCCTCTTAATACTTCAAGGGCTTAATTTTTCACTTAAATTTCTAAATTTCTAAATGCGAAAATTTGAATTTAAATGGTAGGCATTTTTTAGTACATAATTCTATCGATATTCTCCTGTAAAATTTCAAGCATTACAAATTCCATGACACAGTCTCCGAAGTGTTATTAAATATTATTAATAGCACTTCCATTCATTATTTACCCATCGATAGACAATAGACAAGTGTTCAGTGATGAAAAACATATTTAAAGGCTGATGCAACTGAAGTACGTATTCGATGTTCGAGTGGATTTCCAGTACCTCGTTATATTTGTTTCATTGATTAAACATGTGCAAGCAAAAACGCATTCAAACATTCCAGAAAGGATTCTTACCATATTTTATATTTAGTTAACATTTTAACACGTTCTGGTTCTTTCACGTATCGCAGACTTCATATTAACCGACTAATTCTCGGAAACGCCAAAAGACTCGTATTTGGTAAATACGAAAACATCATAATTTACCGGAACAAATTTGCGAGTTTCAAACAATCCTAAAGACAACATTATTATTTGAATCAACATAGGATAAAGTGTATCGTAAGCGTATCGTTTCAGACGTCGTTCCTTTGCGCAACACAAAATGGCTCGTACAATCTCCGCGTTTATTCATTCGCAAAATTATTTAACCGAAGACTGAAGATTTTTCGTTGAGACTCGTCGATTCCAAAGGAATTGTATTCGCGACAAATGTACGATAAGCGAATTTGTGGGAAAATTACATATGATGCTCGAAAGAAAGAATTTCCTAATCACGGTTTATGTAAACAGTTCAAACGAGCGCGACAAGATTTCATTGCAATACATTTTCACGGTACGATAATACTTTGGTGTTAAGCCAGTATTGTCCAAACTAAGCTCCGCAGCTTAAGGAACTTCTCTCGTTTTGCATCCCTTAACGTGGCATAGGAACGCTGATTAACATCAGCGATAATTTGTAAAGGATGGCTGTAAACTTCGTTGTTGAAACTAAATTAAAGAGAGTTCCTTCCTGTGGACAATCCTGGTATCGGTTCAAAATCAATGGACTGTTTAAGATCAAAATACGATTGTTTTAAAATGAAACTTTGCATTTGCTACTTTGTAAGATTATTATGGTATAAGTGGTACTTAGAGTTTATTTTTTAAGTTATTATTTTTGTTAAATTTGCGACGGTCACTGGTGATCTCCGCGGTATTCTACGCGTTAATGAATTTTATTTTTCGTTTTTAAGATATTTCTGTTGTCCATAATTCAGTTGTAAATGTAGGAACATATATTGTAAGTTTCGAAGAATTTTACTTGCTGTGTCATGATTATGTGGCGAGAATTTTAAAGGGTCAAATTGATTTTGGACAAGCCATTCGATTAGTAATAAAAAAATCGTGCTATTCTGATCGATCCTAATCATCATCGTCGATACTGCCTAACTCATTCCATCGCCACCTGTGTAAAAAATATTTATAGGAGAGACTTGAATTTCCACGTGTATACTGTAAGGTGTAAGAATTTTACCGGTGCAGAACGCGAAGCATGTTCCTGACGAAGAGTTGTTACGGTGATGAAGAATTGTTGGACGCGTTCTCTGTGGATCAGTCGCGTTCCAAGTTTTCTCGTGCTTGTCGAATGTGTGCGAACTTATAAAGAATATTATTAAATATTACGGGGCCGAGTCATGAACAAATGACATGTTTCATTAACATATTTTCGTATCTCGTACAGCTCTCCGTTGTACAGGATAAGAACGCTTTAAAGTGTTTTTATCGTAATAGGGATTTATTATAAATGTAAAGGAACTATGTTTGCGTGTCACGATATAGGTGTAAGGAAATTCCTTAGGGAACGTAACGATCAGATTTTTTTCTTTTCATAGATCTTAGACGAGATAGGAGCGTTAAGGAGATTGGATAATCGAACGTTGATCATGCCCTTATTTCTTTTCTGTACTTTTTATTGTATCCGAACTTATTATTATCCATATTGTTATTAGTATTATTATTATTCATGTAACTGCGATTAATATTTAATATTCCTGTCGATTTATTTTACTTACGCCGTTATTTTGCGCTATCATTATGATTCGAACAAATGTCTATTATTTATAAAGGAATTATGATTGGAAAACTATGCAGCTTGCCGTTTGCGACAGATTTAAGTTTTAATAACTGCGTACTTTGGCCGGATATAATAATTTATACATCATTGTCAATGTACTATCACTGTAAATATTATACATATTTTATAAATGAAATATTTAGCGTGACTGTAATATTAAAAAGAATGTACTGAAAGCACCACTCTGTACACTCCACTACGATGGTTAAATTTTAATAAATATTTCCCAACCCCATCGTTGCGTTACTACCTATCCAATCTGTAACCCATAAAAAAGACATTTCGAGCAAATTCTTTTTATTGAGAAAATAGTCTTTACAGTCTTTTGAAATATTATAAATATAGTCGATTATTTGGTTCCAACAGACTTCAGTATCTTTTCTTCTTTGGTCACTTTTTTCAATTTCGATAACGCACTCTCTCCGTACTTCGTCACCAGTTCTTCTACGAAATCGTCCTTCAGCTTTTTCAGACACCTGAAACATCGATTGCAATTTTAATTTTATACTGTTTAAAATACTGTAATAAAGGTGTAGCCTGACTCAATTGCCAGGCTCATGAATTAACGACATGACACGTTAGAGTTCATCTGGACCAGGTCATTCTCTTCAATTATTCAAAAACTCGATCCCCTAATCGTTTATTTAGTCGTACATTACCTTCTATAAATGGAGTCGCTCCTGAACTTGCCGATGTCAAGACTAGGGGCGTGAGGCCGATGGATAATGAACGTATCCGGCAAGACAATGTACCTATATAAATCTTCAATTTATGGCATCGCGTTATAGCGCTTGGGTGCTGTAAAGTCATTTAGTAAATATACTCTGTCCCTCTTAGCTCAACTGTCCTAACTATAATGATAAACTCAATTACTCGTATTCCAGAAATATAAAAAGTATTTCTAGATCCCCAAGAAGAACGTAGGACACTTTAATAAACGTAAAGAACATATAAAACGCTACAAAAAAGGTGAGAAATAGGACATTTTAACTGAGGAGGACAGTATTAGTGAAACGTTTCTTACTTGTAACCCAATACAGTCAAATGCGTCAAATAGGATACTTTGTTCCATCCGAAACCGATGAATCTTGTGTCGTATTTGGGTGCCAATCTTGACACGACGATATAAGGCTCGAAATCTGGCTCCCAAGACACCTACGATATTCATTGTTAAATAAAAATAAAAATCGACTTTTAAGAATCACATACTTCATACGGTTCCATGGTGTTTCGCCAATAACTATAATTAGTGGCTGCATGACCCTGTGTCCACACGTGATAACGAAAAGTGTACAAAACTCCACGTTTCAAGAACTTCAGCAACTCGTCTTTGTTCGCAGGGAAGGTAAACCTATAAAACGAATACATTGGATGCATCGTACCATTTTTTGCGAATTGTCATACTACCTATAACGCTCTGTCTCGAACGCTGGGACGATCAAAGCTACTTTGTCCGACTCGGTGATGTTTAATTTAGAAATGTAGCTCATAAGGGCTTCGTGTAAGCCGAACTGCGGCAGAAAATCGACGTCCAGTTGAAAAATAAACGGGGACGATACGTACGACATGGCGATGTTTCGTAGATAATTGATTGGATAGAGTTCCTGTGATTGAGAAAAGTAGTTGAATATTCCTTGTTGAGGCTAATTGTCCAGATTCTAAATACATATATCGAGATAACACGAGTACTGAGATAACATTGATATTTTTTAAACATTTTTATATTTAAAATGTGAACAAATGATTGTAGCGATGAAAGTGTTATTTTGAAATCTCCAAATTTTTAAAGTCATTAATATGGAAATTCAATTCACCCCATCTTTGTACACCACATGGTACGCGATGTTCTTCCGTTTACGCAATTCGACAGATCCACGCACGAATTCCAGGAAGTTCTGCACCTCGGCATCGGTCAGGTACAGGGCGACGCTTATGGTACCAGGCCAATGTTTCGATATATCTTCCAACAATGGTATCCTTTCCACGCTGCACTGAGTTACCAGAGCAACATCCGTCGGTGCGTATACATTGTACTCGTACTCGAGAAGGAACGGATGCGTGCGATACAAGGTGGACGCACCCCTAGTGAACTCTCGACAGGGGCTCGATTCGTTGTACTAAAAATTGGGAACAAACTTTGCGATGTACTAAGAAAAACTTCATAATCATTACATTTTTATATACTTTCATTTGTTACAAAAGGGTGCAACATAAGCTGTGTACATTCTGTTTATCCTTAATAACTAAATGATCATAAAAATGAAATAACGATTTAGTCATAAGGTGACTTACTTCGGACATAGCTTCGTGTTTATCACAACCAAACAAGCGTCTACGCAGTAAATTCCCATCCATATCAAGGAAGACTTTATGCAACTTACGAAACTCGTTAATATGTTTATTATATACATCCTGCTTTCGAGGCGAATTCCAGTGTACAATCTAAAAGAAATCGCGCGACAAGAACATCAGTGGCAAACAATGGGACATAAACGAAGATCGCATGTACATACATTTATACGACTAGTGTCGCGATAACATTGATCGCTGATCGTGTGATCGCTGAGCTGAATGTTCCACGTACATTCTACTTTATATACAATGGAAGGATGGTCTTTGATAACGGCGTTAATTATATCCTGATCGGCTAAACTAGTTTCCGGTATATAGGACAGTACACGTTTGGTAACTGCTTCCCACAGACTCATAAATTTTCTGGTACGAAGTTGTTGCAAGTGCATTAGCATCACGCCGGTGTTGAAGCCTCTGCCAAGTGCTGGCCACGGCCGCTGACCGTAAGACAAAGCCTTTATGTACCAATGACTCTGATTTTCCGTCAACCCGAGGGCCTGATCGTTCGTGAACTTCTCGAACATCTGCCAAAGTAAATTAACGTCGTTCACCACGGTTACGTCCGTGTCGAATACAACAACTTTATCCTCCCGCATCGCGTCTGGCAGGATTAATTTCAGGAGACCGTAAACGCCTGAGTAATGCTTGTTCGGTATCCAGGACACCTTTGGCACCCATCGCTCCGCCTTATAATACGTCAGGTTCACTAAAAAGAACGAGCTTATATTGCTGACGTATTTTCAAAGAAACGTAGTCAATAGTGATGGATTATTAAGTATCAAGTTGTCTAATAAACAAATTCATTTGGCCACAATTTAAAAATTATATCTCGTGTCAAAGTTGACTGAAGTGAACATTTTGAGCGGATTAAAAATATACTAAAAATAAAATACTGATATAAAAATTTATGTAACGAAATAGATTCATTTTGAAGACAAAATGATTTTGACTAATAGAATATATTTTTTACTACAAGTTTTTAACTAGGAATTTTTTGAACAGATAGCCTTGAATATCCATCGCTAATTGCTACTGCTCATCCGTTCTTGGAATAACGCATTCTCATGGCACAAGTAGTCGTTCAAATTTATTTCACCGACTGACCGTCGCGTTAATTGTTACAATCGGGTCAATTAGTGTTTAACATTTTTAGCGTGACCTCCACTGCTAACGAATCTACATATATAACGTACTTTCGTTTGCACGAGTTTCTTTCTCGGCCTTTCAGATCGATGGAAAAAAACGGGTAGAGTTTAAAGTAACTCGTTTCAATTTTTAATTCGTGGATTATCGTAACTGAAGGTATTTACAATTGAAATTTTTGTGATCGGAATGAACAATAAATTAACGAAGAACGGATGAGAACACGTGTATCGTGGTAAGCGTATTACTAACCATGCGGTAAATCCCACGTTCGAAACACAGTTGTCAATGTCCTCTTTGCAATCTCATCGACGAGCAAGTGAAAGTGCAAAGGTTTAGTGCGGTAGAATAAAACAGATTTTACTACTGTCACCAGAGCGAACGTCGAATTGTATCCGGCGCACACCATCGCTATGTGGATGGTCTCGCATTTTACCTTGAAAGAGATCAATACTATCGACAACTTAATCTTTAACGATTTTATTTTAAGTTCTAAGCAATTACATTTGTAAGTAATTACACTATAATTCAAAAATTAATAATTTTTATTTTAAATATTTGGCGGGCCGCCATGATTCGAAGGATTAAAAATATCGACTTTATTTATCTAGAGCCTTTTCGACTTCTAAATGTCATGTTTTTACCTGATTACGATTATTTTCAGAATGAGGTTTCTCAAACATAGGTCGCTCCACGTGTAAGGTCTCTTTGTCTACGATCGATTTACCAACGATTTTGAAAGAATCGATTTCAGCGGAAGGAACTATAACACACGTGATATATTGACATCCGTCGTTGTACAAGAAACAATGCAATGTCGCCAGTTATTACCATTTAACAATAAATATAAATAAAAAACCGCCGATGGCACTAAAACGCCGAACAAACATCCTAGCCATGATCGAGCCATTGCAATATGACAGACATATTTCCCAATTCGTTGAATGATTAAATTAGGTTTATCCTATAAATGTCGATATCTACAAACTAAAAAATATGAAATTTGTATAATTTTTTTATTTTGAAGATGATGGTAATAATCATCATTATTGTCATTTAATATTAAATGTAAATTATATTATTTGCGGTTGCAAATAATTTAGTTCTCCTGTATCTCTAAATAAAAAAAAAATCAATAGTCGAAACATAAGTCATTAATCGAATTAATTTATTTTTTACTTTGCCTTAAGATAATTATTTTTAGTTCTATTGCTCTCGTTACGTTTCATCTGACAATCAGGTGTGACTACTAAACATGCGCTAACGTGACACCGAACGAAAACAAAAGAGATAGGTTAATAAAGCATTGCAATCTACTTACCGTGAACAGCAATGTCATCGAGGTAACGATACAAAATTGAACACTGAACGTACCTCTATCGCCAATCTTTTCTTTGCTCCACAACTGTCATCCAATTAAATCCATCGCTCGTGACAACATTAAAATACGAGTTCGAATCGACGATTCTGTATCGTGAATTTCTTCCGCGCACAAATCTTGTGGAACGCCGGTGCTCGTTTGTGATTCAATGAACCGTTATTATATCTCGAACCGTTGGTCGTAAACCAAGGAAATTCGCGTAATTACAATTACTCAGGAACAACGTCGGAACAGCATGCATTCTAAACACTCCGAAGCAGGAAGTCTAACATAAATAGTTTAATCATTGGATAACGCGATAGTAGAATTACTATCTGTCCGAATAACGAGACACGGGAGGTCGAACCGTCGGTAACTCTTTAGTTACTCGCTTACGTTACGAGATGGCAATGTTTATTCCATTTGAAGTTAGCCGAGTGTTAAATAAAAACCGGAAACGTTTTTTTTCGCCTTGCCGCGAAATTCAAACACGGAGTGAAGGATTAAAAGGATCGTGCAGGATTAAATAACGTGAACACATATTTTAAAGTACCAATTTTTAATACAAATTCTTTTTTCTTTTACAAATTGCATTGTAAGTTATATGTCATATAAAATTGTCGTCGTATATAATTATAATCATATACATATTGTCAACGTAACTTTCTGTCAGAAATGAACTAACGATGTCATACGGTTTATCAATCTAAGATTGTTTAGGAACAATCTAAATTAAATGCATCATACACGACTTATACACACTTACGCTAACTACAAAACTAGTTGTACCTAAGTCAGCTACGTAATTGTTTAAAAAATAAATATAATTACATTCTAAAATGGATAAATGAAGTATGTGACATGAGGCAAGTCATAAAAAAGTGTCAAATGATGCTTAATTGATATCTGTTGCTATACTTGGATGAGAAATACCCTCATCGTCTTCTTTAATCTTTCGTAGTCGCAGAAGTTCTGTGTTTCTTGCCCTAAAAGAATTTGTTTAATATTAATACCCTGGTAAAGAAGAATTAAACGGATTAATGCGACTATGGATATTTATGCGAGTCTATGTTTTTATTCAACATTTTGTCCGAGCTATTCAAAGCATTACTTTTATCCTCAGGTTTTGCATATTTTATGCATTCTGACCAATTTGTTTCCGCACTGTGTATTTACGTACTTTTTGCATACACTAATGTGCAATAAATGCATAAACATCCACGGTCTATTCATAGTTATCGCCAACTTTATTACCTATTCAAAGCTTCTTCTTGTTCTCGCTGCTCTTTCTGTTTTTTCAGAAGTCTGACTGCCACACAAACTATTAGCAGTAAAACTGGAACTAAACAAGCGAGTATAATACCGGTGGTAATACCCGCTTGTCGAGAACTATATTCTTGCTGACCTGTGATTTTTAATAAGACAGTAGTTTAAATACGGCCATTTCATACATACGAAGATAGGACAAAGGTAAGAGGATATTAAAACGTAAAGTGATGACAATAATTCTGGTGGAAATTTCCATTCCACTTTAATGATTATAATTCGATGTTTCAATGGTTTAGCAAATGCTTTCACGAGTGCATGTGGAATAGAAATTTCCTGAATAAAGGTATAGAAAAAGTTTATTGAACTATATTTGTACATTAATTGTATTTTATACAATTATGCTATAATTACAAAACTGTTAATGCATTTTAACGCGCTCAAAATTAATATTATGCATCAAACTGTATAAAAACACGAAGCTTTGTGATTTAGTGATACATTATCTAATAAGCGTTCCGTAAAATGAACATTTCTATTCCACAGCAGAATATATACAAGTGAAAACTTAATCACTTTTGACGTACAATTTAATCCATTTATATTACGTTATCAGTTCATTTTTCGTGCAAATGATATTCGATTATGTACGGTTTTATTCCGAAGCGTACGGTCGCGAATAATTATGACCCGAAGTATTTGTCATGTAAGAGATGCTTCCAAAGAAAATTTAATGCATAAATGATGAACTACCGACGGTATGTCAAGAATGTCAAGTATGTGAGGTTTTTTTGTCGAGAATGGATGGTCCACGACAGGAACGGATCCAGAGAGGCATTTTTAAATTCCAAAATCTCCAAATCCCCCAACTTCTAAAGCTTTCAAATTTAAAAACTAAAGATCAATCCCCTGCGTCGCCATTTTAGAGAAATACGAAGTGGAATAAAAGATAACAGAAAACGTACTGAATACGTGACACTTTAATTTGTTAAAGAATTAAGAATTCTGAAGTATTTCAAAAGTTTAAAATATCTACTTTCTGAATTCGTTCCACGACGCCAATTATTTTACACGTCGCTCTCTTTCGTGGGACTTCCAGCTTTCCTAATGGACTCTGTCATACTTTTCTCCGAGTCTGTCGGGGAATTAGGTTCTCTAAGGTCCCAGTCTTTGTCCTCGAAATCGACATTCGGTCTGTTTGGCAATGGTTCGTGTGTACGATATACTTTGTCGTAACTGTGAGGTTTCTTAACTGTACTCGGTGCAGTGCTAGTATCGCTAACGGGTGAAATTGGTCTGTCGAACGATTTCAACGGCGTAGTCTGTCTCAACAACGTGGAATCATCGACACCGGAACTCCGTTCAGAATAACGCCACGAGTTCACGGAGCCTCCCTGAGTCTGATTTTTTCGTATATAAAAAAATGCACCCGCGATACATCCCGTTATAGGAACTAACACGGCGAAAATAATGCCCATTGTTATCCATGCCGTACGCTGAGCATACTCGATCTGACCTATATTTGTGCAATACCAAACAATCTTTAGTTCTCTTTTTGTTCGTGCTTGCAGGGACTAGCATGATGCACTGGTGAATTATAAATAATGTTTGATGCATGAATTATGAATGTTGAAATAATTAATGCACTGACTGTCATGCTTTCAACAAAGGGTCAAAAGTTATCGATTTCGAAACGTAGTCAAGTTTTTCATTCAAGATCTCTAATCTTAAGAAGAAGGAACCGCGGTAAAATATTTGAGAACCATCAATTATTTCAGGTAATATAATATTAAAGGACGGATATTCATGCATCTACAATAGACCAAGTCTATAAAATATGCAAATCATATGAGACATATAGTTCCATGGTTTATATTGTATGGATTTCGGTGTATTATAGATGTACGCTCATCCGCAGTTCAATTATCAATGTAATTTTATTTGGACACTTACGTAAACACTCCGTGTATCCATATTCCGGGACGTTCCAGCGACCCTCGGGCGTGCACACTCGTCTTTGATCGCCAATCAGTATGAAATCTTGGTTGCATTCGAAAGTGACTTTCGTACCTGGCACGAAAAAGAAGTTGCTCTTGCGACCGAAACGTGGTGTTTCCAATACCCCGCAAGATATGACTGAAAAGGAAGACAATAGTAAAATAGCTGCTTGTTTACGCATTGCGTTTTATAGAACTCACCTCGTTGATTCATGTTAATGTCTCTGATTTGAGTGTAGGTGTCATAATAGTTTTTCGTAAAGTGAGCCAAGTCTCGATTGAGCGACATGGCGTAGTCGTATTGGCACTGATACGTCTCTCCGCAAAGATCGATAGCCCGTTGTACATCGTATGACCTGAAATAAAATAAAATAAGCTTTGAAATATCCTTAAGATAATTCCTTATCATTGAGATACACAAGATATATAATAAGATTCTTTTTCAACAAATAATTTTCCTTCGAATAGATCACCTGTTAGTGGGCAATATTTCAGCAGGTGTTTTTCTCCATTCTGGCTCGAAAGTTCTATTGGAGTAATAACTAGATGTTCTGCCGAACGATCTAACAAATAGAGATCCCCCTTTCAAGTCGTCTTCTTTGTCTTCCAGCATCCAGTGTATCCCGAAGTCTTTGTGAACGGTCTCGAAGTGATTCAAGTTACTAGCAGAAACTTGTTGGCCATCAGGAGTCATCAGATCGTCCGAGATGTCGAAGTTCCATTTACCGAATAGCCCTTTGGTCTTGTTCTAAAGTAAACGGAGACAACGTTACCAGTAGTTATTTGGTGCCTAACGATTCATTGTGGTTTAGTATGCACGTACCAAATAGGTCCAGGGCAGATAAACCCTGGCTGTCATGAATCCCTCGTTTTCGACTACCTCTACACCGGCACCAGTGTCGAACATGATGATCACCTCGCTCTGATTTAGGATAACAGTAGGCGTGTAAACTACCGCGCCAGTAAAATGTTGGAATTTAAGGGCTGGTCTGTCGAAGTACACTGGTCGTTTGTCTACTAAGACGTCGAGACGGTACCTCCATTGAGCGTGTTTGGGTCTTAATCGAACTTCGATTACAGCCGAGTTGTTTCCTCTTGCTGCACAGACATATGGTTATTACAAGCCTAAGAACTTCTATAATTATGAAAATGATTTTACGAATGTAAAAGAATAAGAGATGATTACCCGCAATAGACGTTAACTGAGTAGCTCTAACTTCCCCATGTATGTTGCTTGGCAACTGTTCGAACCTGCCTTGAACGTCGAGTTTATCTTTCAGATTATTCACACGTACTAATACAAACTCCCCTTTTCCATTGAACGTGTATTCAAGACCATCGAAAGTAGCAAAATGTGGATCACCAAACACAGTTCCAATCGCTGGAGATTGATAAGCGATGCAATCTTGACTGGGTCGTCTTTCGAACCTGAAAGTTTCGCACCCAACGGCGTGTTCCTCTTGCCATAAACAGCACATGTAGAAGGGTATCACGTCATGGTGCCAGTGTGAAAGAGTTGGAACTTTGTTCGCCTCATCCCATGGGTAGTAGCCTAAATTGTGAGATCGATGTGGCCTGGAACCCCATTGCTGATCGTACGTTAACATCAGGTAGCCGTTTTTGTCGTAACAGCACTGTTGCTCGGAACCGTCCATACTGATAAATTGACATAAAAGGAACCGTATCAAACTCTATAGCTTGGATTTCTTTTTAAGTATTGTTATAATGTTTACCTGGGTGCACCAGTCCTCACACAGTGATACGCATGCTGATTGTACAAGCAATCCAAGTTCGAGTCCTTGTCACAATCGTAGTCCGGAAGGAAGCGACCTTTATCGTTCAACGCGTGCTTCACGGTGCACGGACATATAGATACCTCTGCCGCGAAATTCTTCAAATACCGATCGTTCATTATCCAGTTATCGCAAAGTCGCTGGGGCCACTTTGACCCGTACTTCCTTTCCCATTGCGGGCCGAAGTACCAGCCTAATGGAATCGGCCTGCTCCATAAGCTCCTATAAAAGTTTCTCCCGTTACAAATTTATGAATTCCATCAAATTTTATTTCGGTATACGTACGGCGAAATGTTGAGGCCAGTTTGTTGCTGCGGCTCGGTTAAATTGAGTTGAATAAAACCGAAATTTAGATCCAGTTGATACGGATTATACGCGTCACGAAATTTCGCTGGAGTGATGATATATTCGCCAAGGTTTGTGTACGCTGGCTAAAATTCGATATACAATTATTTATATAATTTGACACTTTTTATCGAGCATTGTGAGTATGATTTAATTTCACCGACTTCCAACGTAGTGATGAACTCGAACTCTGGGGTAGTCTTTGTCTCACGATATCCCCACAGAGATATCTGCACGCCGGCGTTTAAATTGTTGGTCAAATTGTAACGATTCCAAGTGATTTTTATTTCGGCAGGACTCTTTTGGTGAACGGCACTCGATACGTAGATCTTCTCTGCAGCTGTGGCTGGGGTCTCTGTAAAATTGACACAATATTTAAATTCCAATTGCACCCGTTACAACATAAAATCTTTATAACTACAATCTCGAGTATAATAGTAAGATGAATGGCACTTGATAACAGTTCATTCATGCAAGTAACTGGATATGTACCTACTGTAATTTAAAACCATCTTACCGATAAAATATTTCCCTTTCCAGTCGTAAGTTTTACTATCGCCAATGCTGATCGCAAATCGAACGTATCCCTCTGCTTTCACGAACGGTTGCACACAAATTGCACGATTTCTGTCGATCACAGTGCCGGTCACGACTACAGTTTCAAACATACATCGAATCTTTTGAGTCTCGTTGAAACACGGCCCGGTGATGTTCACGATGGTGCCACCTAACATGTTGCCGCTCTCAGGCGCGAATACGAGAGGTAAATTTGCTCCCGCTATAAGAAATATACATTTCAGTAAAGCTCCGTCATTACACATTCATAACGTATGTATAAATTTACCTATGTCTTTGTTGCAAGTGCCTGGTATGATTTTTTCATCAATCCTGAAGATGTGCCGACCTGGAAAACCGTTCGCCCATCCTCTACCAGTCAGATCACGAATCGTCGACCTCTGGGAGTATGGTTTGTATTCGTACACTTGGGTACCGTTTCCTGCATTGAAACCGACCTGGACGCAATAGTGATAAAGATTGCAACAATATTTTTGTAATACATTCAGTAAAATAATTCAGTGTTTGACGTAATTTTACACGAAGAAAGGTTATTGTAGAATAAAAACTGTGATGTCTGTTTTCTCCGATATAGGAAATGACTTCCTGTAGAATAGCATAATTTGTAAATGGAAGGAACACTCATACTTACAAATGCTGGTACACCACCTTCTCCACCCGTAGTGTCACCACCAGCCTCTGTATGGCTGGTCCACTGAATGTCCAAATAATTGAATATAGCGTAAGTATAAATTTCGTCAGTGGCGAGGACCATTTGGAAGGTGTTCGTTTTGTAAAGCGAATTGTCGATACCACCAGCGAAAGACATGTTCTTCCACGTAATTATAACTGCGTGTTTCGGTTCAAACGAGTCCGTACCGACGATACCCTCGCGGATATCCCATTTAATCCGCTCGCGCATTTCAACACCAAATTGGTCCTTTCTGTTCTCCAAGTCCCTCTCCATCCTGGAATTCATTTTGAGAATAGATTCAACGTGCTTAAAGTTTAAATTCGATGACTGACCTGAAATACACTCCTGGTTTTCTTTGATCGATGTCGGTCTTCCTTGTCTTGCCTATGCGACATTTGCTGAAGAATATTCCTATGAAACTGGGGTCGTTCTTTTTGGGCCAGTCTTTCACGGGAAACGCGAGGGGGTAAGTGTAGTGGACTGGGGGATCGCTGAATTCTAGGAAACCGTTCATGGATACCTGGAAAGCGATGTATTTCAATTTTGGTTAGGTTTATTTGTATAAGTCATAAAATTTCAAGTTTATACGAATTTTATAAGTGGGAAGTGTCAAAATTTTTGAAGGGGAAGGTCTCTTTATGTAGCTAGCAATACATCACTGTATTACATCGTTTTTATAAATGTTCATAATTTTTTATAAATGTCTGCCATCTTAATTTAATGTATGTTAAGCTAGAGAATCATTGAAGACATACCCTGGTGTAGTTAAACCTAAATCCGAAGAAGGGCAATTGGAAGTTGAAGTTCTTATGTATTTGAGGCATGGAGGATTGAATTTGTTTCTGATAATCGCCTTCGTCATCATCGCCGCCTTTATCGAAGAACCAGTACATAAACCTCGATCGAATTTCTTTCAATCTGCTTTCCGTTAAAACGTAATTTGGAACTGAATCATCCGAACGAGGCGCATATCTGTCCGCTTCCGGTAAATCGGAATCTATGAGAACACGTAAATTCCAATATTTCAGTGTTCGGAATGATTCGTTGTTACATGTTTATCTGATATGATAATACTAGAAAGTATCGGGTAAGAATTCGATAATGAAAACCTCTTTATAAATCCATTAGGTATTTCACGTTAATAATTCATTTCTTTTTGAGAGTATTAAAATTTAAACGAAATCAAGATGTTCATTGCTGAATTACAGAACTATGGTACATATTACTGTTTAAAGACGTAACATTAAATTTAAAGTGTTATTTTTTGTATATTTCATTCGAGGGTTAAGGTCATAATCATTTAACTATAAGTGCCGAAGCTACCTATTGTACTTATCATCCAACGGATGATAAAAAGACAAACCATAAAAGTCTAGCAAAGTAATTTTAGTCATGATATCAGATGCAAAAGGAAGATTGAAGTAGTTACGAAAGACGTGATGATACAAAATCCAATGATTCATCTGCGATTCATGTTAGAGTGAGTAACTGATAAAGGCAGATAAGATCATACTAGTAAGTTATGCCCTATAACAAATAACACGATTTCACGATTACGATCCAAATTCGAACCAATTCAAAAAACTACTCAGAACTTCGAAATCAATTCTGACGAAGAATATAAATCATCGATCGAAAATTGTTCGAACGTTGAAACGATGATTCAACGTGCAACGTGAAATAGAGAAAAATAATGGTCACGCCCATTGATATCGAAAAGCTCACCGTATCTCACATATTTTCCACTTTTTTCGCCAGCCATTTTACCGGTGATACCTTGAGAAACGCTAACGTCTTTAGCTCCATTTTGATCGCCTAAATTTTCGTCCACGTTAGCTGGGGTTTCTAGTCCTTGTGTGTCCTCTGGATTTTTCTGGTTATTGTCACCCAAGTCGTGAGGCAGATCTTCCGCTTCGAATTCTTCGTTCAAATTCTCTTCGCCTGCATTACCTTCCGTGTAAAACGGTTCCTCGCCATCCGTGTAATCCGGCTCGTCCAATCCGAACGCAGATTTGAAAGGATTGACGACTTGAGCCGTTGTTCGAACAATTAGCAAGGATGAAACAAAACAACCAACTAGGACCAATTTCAAGAAACCGGAAACGCGGTCAGGACGAAACTTGTCCCGCATTTTTTACTATGGTAGACGAACCGATTTGACTAATGTACTGAAAGAAACTAAGCTTGATTTCAGGCAACGAAGAACGATAACGATACTGATATCAGTTATATTGTGATAACGCGAGTTTATCTCTTTACTACAGGTGGATAAGGTACGGGAAAACTTAAACGAATAAAGCGAAACGTAGGACTGGTGCCCTACTTTCGAAAGGACACGAATATACCCTTTAAATGATACAGCGCAGTAGAGGTCACAAAACTTTCGTGGGTCACGACACACTTTCGATGATCATTTTTTGCAACCTACTTATGATGCACTATCTTTTAAAACTTCAAAATGATTCTATGCTATTCATTTATAATGTCTTAACAGAAAAGGGTTGTACAACAATCGTTTTTTTAATACTTCGTACTATTATGTTTAGTTTTATTGCGAATGATAGGAAAATGTTTCAACGTGTACCAATCGTTGCAGCTAGCTTCATCAAGGATCGAAGGACACACTGATACACTATCAGTATAAAATATAATACAACTACATATAAAAGTGTGATAATTTAAGTCTTGAAAGCTTCAGGATTCCCACCACATTATCATCTATAATTTTTAGTAATATTTAATGCCACACTTTGGGAACCTCTGCAAGAGAACAGTTCTAATTGTTACAGATATTAAAAATCACCAAAGTTTCAATGTAAGATGTTTATTGTATCTCTAGAATGGGGTGTTATTTACAAAAGAAACGTACTTTACGTCACTTTGAAAGTGTGGTAGATCTTGTTACCATTTTTTAAATCTCGTAGATAATGCGTTTTACAATAAAACATACGTAGTATGTATAGGAAATACTATGTGTAAAATAATAATAAAAAAAGAAAGATGAAATAATTTTCTGCTATCATTGGCGTAACTAGAGTTTTGTCACCGAGTGGATGGGCCAGATCCCGTAGCTTTATCAATAGTGCCAATCCTTGCACCAGGCATCATTAAGAGACTCTTGAAAATTTGGAAATCAGAAAATTTTTAAATTTTTAGTACATTGAGAACGAGGGTCAGACCCATCCTGGTGTCTAGGTACGCCAATGCTATTTATATTTCCTACGCAACGTAATTGATTATAAAAAAAAGAGCGGCAGGAAGGTTTTGTTTTGTAGTGCTATGCGTCGACGGTTTTCTGCAGTTGGTCTAAAATTGCACAAAGCGTGATGATTTTGAGGAATATTTATTAAAACACTAAATATAAGAAATCGTCAGGTTTAAAATGTTGTTCATCTATAAATGCATGGTATGATAAATGTACACATGAACACTGATAGATGTATTTAAACAATGCTATCTTGTATTTGTTTTCCTTTAAATCGTTTTTTTCCCGCTTTTTAATGTTTCTTCGAACTTTCATCCCGATAGATTTTGCAAAAGTCTTAAATGTAGAATGATGATTATTTTTTTTTCTTGATTTGTACTGCCATTGTGTTTTGTATACCGATATTGTCACAAACGTTTGTAAAGAAACTATATTACATATTTCATGTTGCGTAAGTATTGTAAATATGTTCGATTAATAGCACGTATCACAGAAGAAACCTACGAAAGACTCAAATTCGAGGATTACAAAAAATGCACAGATATGAAAAAATGTTCCTATAGTTTCATTTTCGGTTAATGATATTTTATGATCTACAGCAGAGATTTGAATGATAATATCGTGGACATGAACTATACGCTTGATCATTAAGTGAAACATTATTTATAACATTTTATTTGTAGTGAAATAATTTGTTCCGACTGAGATGTGATAGTTTTTAACATTACGAAGACGAAGAATTATCTCCATTACTGTCTAGGTACCCTCCTGAACCGTTTACGACAAACGACGTTCCCAAACCGTACAAATGACCACAATATTTCGCATCGTCAATATTATCCTCGAAAAACATCTGAAATAAATTTTATTTTAATTATTATACTGAACATATAAACATTAATAGATTATCGATTTCTAAAATTTGTATTCACCTCTCGCATTTTAAAGAAAACCATTCCGGTAAGTAATGAATCAGATCCAGCTTGATGTTGCGGGCCAACTCTTTGAATTTCCAGTTGTTCTGCTACCTCTTGTAGGCCTCCTTTCAGATTTTTGCATGATTTCATTAAATACTGAACAGAAAATATTATAGATTACCAAATAAATTTCCGCAATAGAGATGTATACAATTATCTCGTACATACTTTTACGTCGTATATTGTTGGAAAATATATCCTAAGAAGTTCAAAAAATTCACTTTCTTCTTGCGGTAAATTTTGGTCTGTAAGAAGTTTCAATAGATAGCCGAAATCGTAACCAGAATGAAAGGACAGCCATTTTATGTCATCAACAAGAACGATTCCCGAAGTTATCAAAAGTTCGGCGAAATCTAATGGATTGATACCTTCTTCTTCGTGTTTTTTAAATTGTATACCACTGTTTTGTAACATGTCTATACTATCTTGCGCATACATGTCTTCTCTATAAAATATTTATATAATTATATCTTCGTGTATCTGGCTGACAATGTAGCTATGCTTATGAGTATACATTAATATAACTTACTGTAAGTTAAATTTGAAATTAAATTGCCACGTCGTATAGCTTCCGCCAGGTGTATTCCCCGATTCATCGAGAAACGTAAGACCAAGTTGAATTATCCGCAAAAGATCTACATTACATCGTAATAACTGATACTGATAGTCAGCGCTAGTCCTGAATTCGCCTAGAAGAATAAGTATTTAATATTATAGTGATTATTGCGAAATTAAAGTATCTCAGATAGTCCTATATCTTACCAATAGGCCTAGCCACTACGCCGGGAAATTCAGTATCCATTGCAATATACTGAAACTGTTGAACAACTTGCCGAATAGTACGAAACTCTTCTTCGAGATTGTGACCCCAAACATCTCGGATCCCACATTCTTCATTACTGGGCATAGTCGCCCCACCCTTCTGCTGCCCTATAGGGTTACCTCCTCCTAGAAATTTTTTAAAGCAAACATTATTCAATTTTAAACATTATTTATTTCATTTTTTTTTACAACATATCTTCTTTTGTTGAATGTTTAACGAGTAGTTCGACCTTAATAGTTCGAAATCTAAATAACTATTACTGTACTACAAGCTTTTAATCACAAGAAATAAACATTTCTGGTTGGTATTATTGGTGTCTGATAATTTTTAATCTTGTGAAAGTATTATTTTCTTAATAGTGAAAACCAATTAATTTGTATGTAGACAAAGACCAACCATAAATGAGAATGACAATAAATTGAACGCATTCATGAGCATTAAGTATCAGTTCTTTTTGCCCCTTAACATTTTACTTTATTTGGAAAGTAGATGATTATCATCTTACAGAGCCTATAATAGTGCTCATATAACTGCACCTTCTAGTAATTGTGCATTCTTCTGAAATTCTCTGAAAGCGCACACCTTTTCTTGCAGTAACAGCGACTGTATATTTCTTGGGAACTTCATTGCATGTTCTAATCTATTTTACTACTTTCAAAGAGGACATCAATTACATAGTATCTTCTGGGAAGGATGTCTGACGTAATTTCATCCATGCAAATCCAAAGTACTTTTATTTATTTTGCTTCACAGTTCCTGCAATAGGTACGTGTCACATTTGTTATGTAGAGGTCATATATTTATGTTTCACCTTTGGTACTCGTTATACAATCAACTGTTATTCAACTTGAACAAATAAATATCAAGTCCAATATTTCTCAAGGCTTGCTTCAATAAAGTTTATTATCAACTCTATGAAAAATTTACTATACCAATCTAGGAGATCAATTGAACATAATAATTGTACAAAACAGCATCTTTGTATAAAAAGTCAGTATTTCTTAAATTTCCAATATATTTAATACATACCGGTAGCTGAGGGCATAAGGTTAGATATTCTTGTCTTCACCGGGGCTATTTTTATGTTTGATTCCCACTGTCACAGCTTTACTTTCTTCATATCACTGTAAATATACACGTAAACATTATCCTCAATTTAATAGTTGCTAGCGTATACTTGACAAATCTGATTTTATAAACATAATTCATGTACATTATGTTACAGCAAAAAAGAGCGCACAAATTTAAATTGAATAACAGCTATAAAACAGCATTTCAATTTGTGTACAGGTTAGAAATCTGCACAAACAAATATCGCGTTTCAATGCAAATATACAATAAATGAAAATCCAGAAACGAAATAACAATGATAAAATATAACATAACTGTAAAACGTTACAATAAAAAATTATTTGGTAAAGCGTTAATTACTAAATAAACGTTAAGATGAAACATAGGTTATGTATCGCAGATAAACAAAAACAATTTTTTCAAGGGAATATGAAAGAAATAAGCGTTATCATGTACCTCTTTATATGTTCGTTTTTCCACGCGGTGTTTTATTATGTATTATACGAAATAAAGCTTTAGAAAATACTTAACGTGCCTTTAAATCTTCTGTCACCTCCGAACAGGTTAAACGAGTGTCCAAACTCTGAATAATTCGCTGTATATGTTACCTGAAGTTGAAGCGCCAAAATCGATGCAGTAGAGATCTTCTTTCCTAGCAACATTATAATGCAAATATCTGCATTATCGCTTGAGCAAAGAGTAGGAATGAAACAAGTGGCGACACTAGAAAAGGAAACTCGGACTTTCAGTTTCTATCTCTAATGCATAGATGGAACTAGTGACACCGTCTTCGTGCATTAATTTAAAAATTAAGAGCATTAAAATAAAGCTTGCGTAACATTGAATTAATTATGTTACAACATGATCTTCTGTACTGCTGCCGCAGATTAAGTAATTATGGCATTTAATTATGAACAGCAAACTTTAAGAGAAAGGAGGTATTATCAAAAGCGCAATCCACTCATACAAGTGTATTATGCACACATTGCTGCTACTTAATGTATTATCAAGCTTCTGTAGGTAAACAATTACAGATCGAAATTTCGTTCCACGTAAAAAATATGTTATTCAAAGATAAAGAAAATAGTCGCACATTTTGTGTCAACTAACCTTGGTTTTTAATTAAAAAAATACAGAGTGTTAAAGATCGAGACTTACTCAATACATAAAATTGACTTATCCGAATGGTTATCTACGTTAACAATTAAAAAACAAAAATGTTAGATAAACCGTTTATCAGTTCACGCGAATCAAATGAATCAAGGTTTGTACTACGAAAATGTAATAAAAGTACTCAGAAGGTGTACAAAGGGTCACGTTGTAATTATTGTCGATGAAAATGTTGCAGAGGACTCGGAACGTGCCGTGTTTCACCCGTCTCGGACATGTTTAATGCATTTAGCTACAAAAGTGAAAATATACAACTATGAGTGTGTGGGCGTTATGTACACACGCACAGCGATAATACGATGAAGTGCTATATCGTGTGTTCATCTTCGTGAAAAACCCCTACCCAATGGCAGCGAGATCTATATAAACTCTGATCAATGACCTGCAACAGTATACTTTCCACAGTTACGTGAAGAAGTTACAGCACGATTTCGAAAGCTTGACAGATTCCAAAAGAAAAATGAACGGTAAAATTGTGGCTTTGTTCTTGGTTGTTCTGTGTTGCATCGCGATGATGGACGGAGCGTCAGCGGGTATAGGTCCACGTACGTAAATCCATTTTTTACAATAATTTACTGTTACTTCTCAATAGGAATATTCTATGTGTGAGTTAAAGTTTTATAAAAACTAGAATTGTTACTACTAAAAATTTTAAGAATTTAATAATTTAGAAATATTGAATTTAACGCTTGAACGAATTAGAATATTTGGAAGTAATGAAAGCTCGTAACTGAGACTTTGTTAGAAAGGTCTAAAATTAGTTATCGCATTTCACATAATATCGTCGCAATACGTAATATTTGCAGCTTGCTATCTGCGTGTAAGAAGCAATTGATTTCGAAGTAAGATTCTTTTAATGACATTTTATTCGTAGTGGAATATTCTGGACAGAGCAAATCTCTTCTGCTTTCACTTATTATTTTATGGAAATTACATGGCGCAATCGTCCGGCATCTTTTTCGGATACCGTTCAACTTTCTAGATCTTTATATTCAATACTCGTTTTAAATTAACAATTTCATTCCTTCTGAGAATACTTTTAATTGTATGACACAGTGATTGATATTTGTGGAGATGTAATACTTGTTTATTTTTACAGAATGTCTTTTGCCATTGGAACGCGGTCCATGCAGAGCAATGATGATAAGATATGGATACAACCCGGAGACGAATCAGTGCGAAGAGTTCCTTTTCGGAGGCTGCAGACCGAACGCGAACAATTTCGCGAATCTGAACGAATGCAAAGAAAGTTGTTCCTAAATACACAGTATGACAGCATAATTAACAAATACCATTAAACATGGTATAAATTAGCGCCGTAAATTTGTAAATATATGATACGTTATCGCATAGATGTTAAGGAAACAGTTTTTGTACAACATCTTGTTACATTGATTACAGTATAATTTACTAGAAAAATGATACAAGATAAAAGTGTTTCAAAGTAGACACGAGAAAGTATGTAATCTAACGAAAATGGTATAAACCTATATTAGGTCGTAACGTGTAGTTAAACAATTAACTGAGAGTATATGATTGTGTGTTGTCGAATGCAACGTATTAAATATGACAGAAATTTGTACTATTAAAAACATTAATAAAATTTGTACTTAAATTAATCGAAAAGATATGTATTCTACCATTCCATATTCCCTTATATGTTTTTGACTGTAACTTCTCGAATGTTCTTAAGAAAAAATCATTTCGAATCATAAAATCAATCGGAAGAAAATATTGATTAAACGATAAAAGTATTTATCGGTCCCCGGTGAAAAACAGTTTGATCGTTTCATTGTGTGATATCGATTTAGACTTATCAGTTATCTCGACAATGTAGAAATCAAGGAACACCAAACAAATTAAAAAATAGGTTATTCGTAAAAAGGAATATATGATATAACTGTGTGATGTTATGAGGATTCTCAGGATCACAGAGAGTTAAATCCCGGAAAATTGATGAGTCGGTAATCAATTTGTACATGAATCATCGATTGCGAGAAAGAGTTACTCATCGTGTTATCTCAGATTACTGAAAGTAATTAAGACGTTCAATTTCAATCGAACAATAATCTGAACTAATCATGTTCACTAATAACAAAAAACTCGTCAACAACGAGCAAGAACGAGAAGCATGCATCGTTAGATTCGTTTGACCGATAAAGTGTCCCAGTTTTGCAAGTACACTCTCCGTACATGCGTGCACACATCGACCGAGGTGTTTCGCTGCAATCATTTTGACTGACAGTTCCCTCGACATTCGCAGCGATCGAACATTGCAAAAGAGGAAAAAAAGAATAATGTTCCGACCTGTGCTCGAAAGAACAGACCGTCGCAAGTGCATGTCATGTAATATCCCCGGTTGTTCTGTTTGTTGAACTGGAACCATAGGTACGTGTCGCCCGTGATCTCGGCCTCCACTCATGCTTAAAATTATCCAATTTCTCTATTATCGTTCTGCCTAACACACTCGCGTACAAGGGAATGCTTATTATCGGCCACACCTTAGGCAGACGGAAATATTTTCACGATCGCACCGGCTACCGCGGCTGTCCGTTTAAGACACCGAATAATAGTGATCGTGCATCATCGTTTGCTCACTTTTTAACCGACACGCGTTCGCTATCTTGTTTCTTTATGTAGCACGCTAACGGACCTATCAGTCAATCCTTTTTTTCTCTCCTTTCTGACATTTGGAACGTTTAACGTCTTGCTGCGTTCGACTGGTTGTGTTTGATCTCGTTTATGAAAGGTGACGGAAATCATATTATTTAGGTGGTCGATGCTCTACATTTGCAAAGTACGTTGTCAAACTTGAAAATTTTGAAAATAGTGGCTAAGAGATTGCAAACTCAGCCTGCGAACTGGAAATTCACTAATTTATTGGAAGGAGTAAACATATAACTTCTATGCAAAAATGACTATCAGCATTTGTCATCGTTTCCAAAGATCTCGTAAGTTCAAAAGAAACTTGAAAGGCAATGTCAGATAAAACATTTATTTCATTTTTCTTCAGAATTATACAGGTTTCCTAAAAAAGGCTCAGCGTCGAAAGGGTAAATAAAGATTCGATAAAGAGTGGAAACGTGTTACACTAGTAATACCGGTGATACGGCACGATAAGATCGTGAGGTGGAGGCAGGGGAGCGCTAAGACCGTCGCGACATATTACGATAACATTCGTCAGAGCTCGTTTGTTAGACGTTCAATTTAATAAAGCACACGGACAATTCGACGACGAGGTTTACGTTATAAAATGAACACATTCGGCCGGCTATCAAGGTGTGACGCATTAAATCCGCGAACAGATAAGTGATTCGTTCAACTTCCAAATACCGTGCATCGTCGATCTTTCTCTTTACATAAACAGCCCGGATCCTCATAGCAGCGAATGTATAAGGCAACGAGCGGTAATGGATCTTGCTTCTAACCTAATTCAATCTAATCGTTAGCGGGACTTCTCCGTGTACGGTTGTGCGCTCGAACAAGTAACTTCGAAGGATGTACGAGACACGAGGACGGTAAGACTGGAGATCGTTACACGTACCTTGCAGACTTACTAATTCGACGAATCCTCGTATCGATTTCACCTTCCGGTAGACGAGGAGGCGTCGGTTAGGCTATACGAGGATTCTACAACTTCATTTTCTACTAAAATCGCGTTGTTTATAAGCTAACTCGACGCGGTGCAATGGCGATCTTATGGTAAAATAACTTTCCTACGGTATTCTGCACTTTTGTTATGGGGTTCTGGACTGAAAAATTCTTGAAATCACTCAAATAAATGCAGTAACTTCTATGCGACGATTTTCAGGAATTTTTCAAACCCTCAAACTTAACCTCAAAATGTTCAATTACCCAATCTCCAAACCTTCATATCCTAAATATAAAAATTTTCTTTCTACATCTGCAAGAGTAGAATTCCCTCAAGTATTCTACAGTTTGAAACAATCTACTGTCAAATATTCTATAAATTATACCCCATAAGAACTCGAACAGACATAAGAACGTCCACATCTTACAGAGAATATTTATTCTTGTCATAAAACAGTTTGATCTCATTTCACTTTTAAATGAATAGTTTCTCGAACGTGTATCCTGGAAATACACATGCCGCGGCAAATTTGATCGAACGAAATCCATTCCGAAAGGATGACGACGGACTGAATCGTCTAGGACCGATCTATCTCCGACAGGAGCAGTGATTTACATACAACAAGGCACCGCAATGATTGCCTTCGGAATACATTAGCTCACATGCTCTGGATACAAGGGAACTAGCAAACAAAGTGTACGTACAATCGAACTCGGACTCTCTGTTCGCGTCGAAGACATATATCGAAGGAGTAACAATGGAATTCGAACTTTATCTCCAGACTTAAACGCGAAACGTTCGAAAACGGTATAAGGTTTCTTTACGTAATGTCTTGTTAAAACTGTGTTGCTGGTTCATTGGCCGACAATAAATTTTCTGTTCAACTTGGAAGCCATTTTATTTCTCCACCTAAGTATACATATTAGGTTGTATTTTATTTATCAAGTTTTTAATTGAATGATAATACAGGATGATGTATGAAGGATCTTGGGGAAGAAGATAATGAAATCTAGATATTAAGGATACGCATTGCCGAGGAAACAATTTGGTGACCTTATTCGCGGTATCCATCTTCTGGCTGAAAGATGACAGAGGGTGATAGATAATGACGGAAAACATTTTTTCCCCCGGGCATTCTATCATTTATAAAAATTGCCTTAAAAATGATTAAATCTTCTGTATATTTTTAACGAAATTTATAACGAAGGTGCGTAAATATTTTACAAATAAACCAAAAAGTAATATCAGGATATTTTTTAAATTCTTTAAAAACGTCATGTCGATCGATCGTATTTGCATAAACACCAGCACATGCGGTTAAGACCGTCATTCATAATTGCGTAAAAGATCGAAGGTTGCCGCACGAGTTTCTTGTTAGCTGACCCATTCGAAGTGTTCCGTCGATTGTAAAGCAACGTTTGGAAAACGCAACAGCTAAACGTGACGGATGATAAAAATTGCATCGAGCGAACGCAGGCACGACATGCGCGGTACATACATACATAGCTACATGTTCAAGTTTCCACGACCGTAGATTAAGTCGCGAACCGGGCCAGCCTATCGCGAGCCCTATTAGAATTACTTTCAAGTACCCATTGTGATCTGCTCGTTTCCATAGATCGCTGACACAAAAGAAATATAGCGTAGGACACGACGATAGAGCCTTCGGCTATTGCCACACACGTGGCTGATAACCCGTACGATCTTCCTCGAGCAAACACGCTGTAATTGCATGGGTTCTGCATTTTTCCACCCACATATAGAGAGACCTCTATCTCTGTCCCTTTTGCCTCTCGAGCTTCCCGTTCCTCTTCCTATACGTTCTCTCGGAGGCTCGTTCACCGGTCTCGTACTACTTATCGATACCAGCTTCGGGCGAACCTAAAATCTGCTTTTCGAGTGTTTGTTGTCTGTCTCAGGAAGCTGTCGTTCAAAAATTAAACACCGGTAAACTTTCTAATAAAAATTATTTACATGAAAGGTTACATGTGAGTATCTAAATTTACGGTTTGCAATAATCGCTTTGGATGAATGGGTTAAAGTGCGGCAGTCCAACGAAACCATCTTAATTTAACGCAATTAATGTCGGAACGATAGCACACTCGAACGTAACACATATTTTACTTTTATCGCACGGTGTTCCACTTTTTCGACGGAACAAACGAGCTCGGAACATCCTTTCAATTAAAAGCCAGAATGAAAGCAAGAATAGCGAGGGGATAAAAGCGAAGCACGGTCCAATGCGTCGTTTCTCGTTGATCAGCAATAAAGGGAAAAAGAAAGAGAAAATTTCGCACGAAACGCTCGAGATCTACGGAACAGTTTCGAACTGTTCTCCTCAGCCGGTTGATAAATCGTCGTGACAGTCGAGGGGACAGGAAGGCTCGCGTCCTCCTGCAAGATTCACGAAGCGATATTAACGATAAAGCCGGCCGTGAAATTTACGAGTCACGAAAAGTATAAAACAGCGTGTCACTATAAAACCGGAGGCATTATTACCGATAAAACGCACGTCACGGGGCCGAGACGCGAGCCGGGGCCTCGAATCGTGAGCAAATCCCGGTAATGGAAGCAATTTCGTCGTCTAAACGGATACAAATAGTACGGCGATAATGCAGTGACACGCTTGTGTATCGGTCGCTCGATACTCCATGATTTAATGGACGCTAGAACCGGTGGTGCACAGGTAACGGGTGTTTTACGGTAATATTATACGGGGTTTGCTATATCGCGTAGACCCATGCTTGTGGCATTGTGCTCGATTCGGTGAAAACACGCTTCCGTTCGGGAAGCATTTTCGAACAATAATCATTGCTGCGATGTTAACCCTTTCGGGACCATCACGCTTTTCAAATTCTTACTATCGTAAAAGTTACCATTGACTTTGACTAGAAATTAAATTATAATCGATCTTCAGAAATTATGATCAAGATGTACGAGATTTCGAGCAAACGCGATTAAATTAAAAATTCT